TGATTGAAGCTTTGACCCTATGCTAAAGCGCTCCAGCAGAAATTACCATATTAATGTATTCAATTATTCGCATTCCATCTTAATTTGCCACAGTACCAGGGATCGATGGGCTGTCAATTTCCGAGCACTAGCACTACCGTGCAGCCAGAGTAATGAAAACAATAGACTTCTGCCTCACAAAAGTCGTTAAAGTTAATGGCGAAACAATTGTTGGCGGCAGACAATGCGAGCACGTGTTTGTTACATTTTAAATTTGATTAGAGCTCTGCTCAAGAGTATTTTATCCATTTTTCTTAAATTCACTTAAAATGTTGAATTTTTTGTGGATTTTATCAGTCACGGGAAACGAACGAAAATGTACTCTAAAGATTAACGAGTTTTCGAGGTTTTGAAGGACACTTCTGTATATTTTGCTTCATATTATATATACCGGTTATATTATAACCAGATACCAGTGTACCACACTTTGTTGAGCAACCAAATGAAATGCCAAAGAGCAAATCGTATCAAATAATAATAATAAATCGTATCAATAATAGCGGAGGGTGGACCTCCATATTGAGCGATAACCCAACGCCAATCAAAATGATAAAAGGTAGTTCTTTATGGACTCTGTCCATGCGAAGCCAACTAATTTTACCATCTACCGTAATACTGTACGGAACCAGGATAACGCAATGTGGAATCAATTAAGTTAGGACTCCTGATGGTGGGGTAGCCAAAAAGCGTACGTATCTGCTATGTGAAGAGCCAGCGATTGATAGAAATACTCGTTTGCGGAATGTGTGACTGCTAAAAAAGTAGATACGTACTACGTAGGTACCACATATAGTATTTTATGGTAACATAACACAATGAATACCACATACGAGTGCGAGTAGTGTAGTGCATATTCCGACAGCTGTCGGTGATAAGAAACAACAGAGCCACGCGTGAGTACCGCCTGGCCACGTACGCCTAGATACAGATACAGTGGGCATTCCACACAGAATTTGCTTATCAAGTGACACGCTGGAAGAACAACCGTTAATGTAGCCACTTTTCTCACAAACTGTGGCGGGCTAGCGGAATGCCCTGATGGAAGATTTATTAATTTACTTTCCTGTGTTTGTTTTTCAGTCAAGAAGTTTGTGGGGTAGCCCGCCGTTTGGGAGATAAGCACCCACCGATAAAGTGGTGCGGGCGGTAGGTAAACTGTAGTCATAAAATTTAAACAAATTTAAAGCTGTATATTAGTGGCCGTTAAACTGTAAAAAAACACCGCACATAAGTCATGCAGCTTCTGTTTCCATTGCATTGCGAATCGGAGAGTCAATTGTCTGGAAGCTCTGCCGTAACGGTACCTGGAGCAATGCTAGTAAGCATTAGAGAGAGAGAGAGAGAGACTGCACACAAAGTAACAGTTAAGAGTTTCTTGAGCAGCTGTCCATCTCCCTCTCACTCTGTAACTACAATTAGTAAAGCAACTAGCTTTGAACTCAATTGAGAAGAAGCGAGAGAGAAGAGACGCTCGCACAGTGGTTGTAATGTCCATAAACACGCACACTTTTAGAAAAGGGTTCAAATGTTACGAGAGCCTTGTGGAATTAGAGCAATACAATTCCGTCAGAGGTATACATACATACATGTGTATGTATGTTAATGATGTTAAAGTCTGCCTTTCTGCTCTAAAACGCAACACAGGTAAACTACTTACTTACAGCTGACACGAAAACTATTCTTGGTTGCAGCTTCTCTAATGTGCGCCGACCACTGTATTAAATGTATCAAATGCAATGCAGCAGCAGTATCAGAAGAGAGGATCCAACTGGCAATCGCTTTTATTAAATGCCGGTGCAAGTGAGAGCGAGAGGCAAGGAGGAGCACGATCTACTGTCGCCATCGACAGAGGGAGAAGAGAGCGCTAGCGAGACGAAGGCAGGTAAAAAACCAGTCGTTAGGGGGTGGCAGGGGGGACACTCTGGCCTGGTCTGCAACGCTCAACTGGTTCTTAGCAACTAACTTGTTTTTTCTGTAGATTGTTTGCCGTCTGAGGTTTTTATTTGCTAATTTTATATACTATTTTATATGGTAACGGGCAAAAACGTACCTTAATCCAAACAAAAAGATTGACTTTTTCTGCGATCCACTTGGTTATTTTTGTTGTATTTCCAAATAAAACTCTTGTTGCGCGCCTTTTTGTGGTGTATTTATGTATTTTTTCTGCTATTTTCGGAGAAAGAAAAGAGAGGAATGGTGAGCGGATGCTGCGGCCATAGCAACAGCAGCAGCACCATATGCTGCATCTCACTCTTGGCAACTTATGATAACCGAGGTCAGGCCGGGGAAGGAGCAAGGGAGATGGAATATTGATGCAATTTCATAACTGGATTTTTACGATTCCTTGAAATTGGGAGACGCGTAGGGGGGGAATATTTGTATTCAATGTTTTTCGTTGCTGCACCACGCACAAGCACACACTAAAAGACACACACACACATACACATCAGCAAGGAAATCAAGAAACAATACAAGAATAACCAAGCGCAAGCCCAAGACAGCAAGTACAATAACAAAAACCACACGCTAGACTGAAACAGCAACCACAATCAGCCGCTCACTTTTTTCGTCGTTCATTTCTTTGCGGGAAATCGAATTATTTTTGTTGTATCTTTTGCCACGAATTTTGTGGCCGCCGCTAAGAATTTCAATACAAATATTATGGCCTCAATAGCATTTTCACTTCTTCGCACACACACACACAAAACACAAAACAGTTGTTGTTAGGGGAAATCATAAATGAAAATATTCAAATATTACATTGCAACGGGGGAATTTTCCCTTATTATTGGATTGCAGATATTGCAGATGTTATGTTTTGACTTTCACGCGAAAATTCCGACGAAACAAAGAAACAACAACAAACCACGACGAAAAGCGTAACAACCAAAGGAATTTTTCAACATAAAACCGCGTCCGAATCGCTTAATGGTTAAAATTTTATTCAAATATTAAAGACAAAGCGTTGAACCTAGGGATGTTTTTCGAGTAAACGGAACTACTTTTCTGAATTGTTAAGAGCGCCAACCGCCAAGTTTAATTTCCGTTTTGTTGTCGTTGCCGCGGACTGAACAGTGTGGTGTGACCGCGGACTTGACGATGAAATATACCGCCCGACGCTCAGAAATATACCGAAACATTCCCTCTCATTTTAAAATATACCGTAAATATACTGACGAATTCAAGTTCTAGTATACATATTCCTCGATTTTGACATTCCCTCGAATATTACTAGCTAGATAAAACATTTTGCATTGCCCACATAATTTTATATGATTAATTATTCTATTTCCTACTTGACTGGTTTATTTTAACCACTTGCTTTTATTGGATTTTGCCTTAAAAAAGGTTTTTGCAAAAATGGTCAAACAAAACAGGTTTTAGCGAAAATGGGCACACAAAAACAACGAAAGAGGATAGCTGTTCCAATTGCTCAATTCTTTATTCCGTTGAATAATGTTGCCTAACTAAAACCTTTAGCTTTACCCATATAATTTCAGGCCATTGATGAATCAATTTTCTACTTGACTGGCTTGTTTTAAATACTTGTTTGTATCGCATTTTGCATAAAAAAGGTTTTAGCGAAAAAGGTCAAACAAATGAAACGTAAAAAAACGTAAGAGAAAAATCGTTCCAATTGCTCAATTCCTTTATTCCGTTCAATAATTCTGGCTAACTAGAACCCTTAGTTTTGCCCACATAATTTAAGATCATTGATGAATAAATTTTCTTCAAGATTGGCTAGTTTTAGTCCTTGCTTTTATTGTATTTCGGCTGAAACAAGGCTTAAACTATTTTTTTCAACATAAAAAATCAGTCGCAATGTTACTGGTATTTGAAGGCAAATTGCGGGTATAGTTATTTCGTATACCCTATTTCGTTAATTTAATATGAAGATCCTGTTTTTAAAACTATTTTTAAAACGTAATTAATGACGAAATTTTCTCAAATTAATGTTTTAGACATATTCATGAATATGATTGGTATCTTGCATCTGATATCTCGATCCTGATTTTGGTCATTGTAAGAATACAACTGCAATAAATCGTTGTGATATTTAAAACAGAGACTAAGTTGTTTTTGCCTTCTTTGGAGCCTGGGATGACAAACATTTTCTCAGTTCTATAACATCTCATTTGTTGTGAACCGGGTATTGCCAAATTTATCTTCCGTCGAATATTACTAGCTAGATAGATCTCTCAGCTCTGCCCGCACAATTTTATCCGATTAATGAATCAATTTTCTAAATTGCCTAAATTTTGGTGCCTCAACAACAGCCCACTTAACCGCCTTCTATTTAAACAGTTCAATGTCTTGAGGTAAATGCCGGCAAATATTCTTCTTTTAGATTCATGCCATATTTCCTCTCAACATACAAAAATCGCGATATCTTTCACCTAAACTGCGCTAAAATTATTCAATTTTCACTATTTTCGGTGGAATATTAAAATATCCCCATGGTTTACAATGGGTTCTCCGTTAAGGGTTGGAAACCATATTCTCGATTTTTGATATTCCGTGGAATATTACTAGCTAGATATAGATACAAAATTACTGATTTGTTTGATCGACACGAGAGGCACCACAAAAAAGAAACAAAAAACATGATGAATTCACATAACGGTTTAGATTATAAATGCAAAATGGTTTTTGAATTTGATATTAATATGTTATAGCCGTCATTACTTTTGAAATGTTTAATCTGTTTATGATTACATATATGAATGATAATCATTAAGTAACCTTTTGCTAATTTTGAAAATAGTAATGTTAAATATTTTAATTTAATTTTGTGGTTAATATTAAAAATGTAAAAACAGATCAAACTTAACAGTAAAACCCTTTTTGGTTGCCTATTTTGAACTCTAGAAACGTAACGCCTTATTTTGTATTGAATCCATGTCTAGCTCAACACGAAGTTTTCTAGAAACGTAGAAACCCCCGTGTGTGGATATTTTAAATTTAAATTTAATTTTTATATTTACTCGTATAATATTCTACATGGGGTTGACTGCGTCCATTTGCCAGGGCACGGCTCCCGACGCATTCACATACATTGTGAATCCATCACGGATTGAGCAGGCCACGTTCTCGCTTCCATCCAACTGTATGGGGGCTCCATGGGGGGCCAGCTCCATGAAAAGGGAATTCTTGCGCCACTCGCCCGGTATCAGGGTCACCAAGTCAGTGTCTTCCTTCTCCAGTCCTTTTAGATACTCCGGCTCCTCGCGCACGAGAAAGTTGTGTAGAATACTCGTGGCAATCACCAGCTTCTCCACCATGGACGCCTCCAGCTTGATTTCGGTTTGCAGGGCTCGGAAGCTGCTGGACATAATGCCCAGAGCGTTGACGACCACGCGATGGGCTCGGTTCAGGCGGTAGTTGAAGATCTTTTTTTCAATTGTCGAGGGAATCTCATGCTGCTTCATCAGCCAGGGCTGTAGCTCGAAACCCTTGTCGGCCAGAACCACGTGGGGCAGTTCCTCATTCAAGCCTAGGAGTGGCTTTTCATGTGGTATGTTCAGCAGGTTGCTCTCCAAACCATTGTACAGTGTGCTCTCGGTGAAGGCGTCCGTTGCTCCGCCTGGACTGCTGGCATCAACGTACAGAAATCTGTGATGGGCATCGACCAGAGCCAGCATAATAATGCTTTGGAACTGCCTGTAATTGGTGTAGCTGTCATCCTTGACCGTTTTCGAGCGGAAGGCAATGTGGTGGCCATCTAAAACAATAGACAACCTGGTGAGCTGGAATCATCGTTAAAGGGAAAACAATTTTACCTAGAGATCCCAGGCAGTGGGGAAAGTTCCACAGCTCCTCAAATTGCTTGGCTACGTCCAGCCATTCCTCCTCAGTTTGAGGTGTCTGCAGGCAGACTCCCTTTAGCTCCTTCACTATGGCCTTGATGACTTCTTCAACAATATATTTAATGGACGACTTACCCACACGATAGATGCCGGCAAGGGTGCTGAAAGAGTCGCCAGTTGTCAGGTATCTCAATGCCATTTGTAGGCGCGTCTCGGCAGGAAGGAGGGTGGGGTTTTTCCGATCCAGTCTGCCCCGCAGTTGCTTGAGCAATTTGCCAAATGCCGTCCAGGTCATGCCGTGAAGAGCGCGTAAAGATGTATCATCGGTAAACGTACACGCCTTAGGTATGGTCCTTATGGGTGCGTGTCCCTTGCGGCGGGCATTTTCCTTCCATGGCAGGTCCTCAGCTTTATCCCGATCCTCCAGATCGGCAGCTACTTGTGCTATTTTAAGGATATCGTGAATTAATTGTATTTCCCTCGCCATTGAACAAGCTAGACAGTGCTGCCAACTTTTTATTAGAAAAAAGCTGTTTCTAACTTGAAGCTAAAAATGTTCAAAAAACAAAACAGTAAATAATGGTGTTAACAATTTTGTATTAAAGTGATATTTAATATGTATTTTTTATGTATTTTTGCTCTCTAAACCAGAATTGTCTAAGCCAAACTAATGTTAATTGAATGAAATGCAACCGTCGTCGGACGGTAGACCCTCAGAAATATACCGAAATATACCGTCTCATTTTTAAAATATACCGTAAACATACTAACGAATTCAAGTTATATTATACATTTTCCTCGATTTTGATATTCTTCTTAGTATTACTAGTGTAAAATTAGCTTAGACATCCAAAATACATGCTGTTATGTACTAAAAAAAAAGTTTTTAAGCCGCAATTAAACTGAAATAAATGGGATTCAAAATTCGCGCCAACGTTGCAGCCCTGTGAGAGATACCAGCGAATGGCAGCACACAAATAACGAGAGACCACGCCGAACGAGTAGAGAAAAATTATTGAACGCTGAAACGAAAAAAAAACTCCAACGTCGCAGCAAGTGAAAAAACCCGTGAAAAGCCCATCGTCCCCATAGAAATAAACGCAAAGCGAAAATGAATGAGGAATACGACGCCATCGTCCTGGGCACCGGCCTCAAGGAGTGCATTCTGAGCGGCATGCTGTCCGTGTCCGGCAAAAAGGTGCTGCATATTGATCGGAACAAGTACTACGGAGGTGAATCGGCCTCGATTACACCGCTGGAGGAACTTTTCCAGCGCTACGGTCTGGAGCCGCCAGGCGAAAGGTTCGGGCGTGGCCGCGACTGGAATGTGGATCTGATCCCCAAGTTTCTGATGGCCAACGGGCAGCTGGTGAAGCTGCTCATACACACGGGCGTCACCCGATATCTGGAGTTCAAGTCCATTGAGGGTAGCTACGTGTATAAGGGCGGAAAAATTGCCAAAGTGCCGGTGGATCAGAAGGAGGCTCTGGCATCCGATCTCATGGGTAAGTGCGAATAGTGATCCGCTCTTTTTCCCCGTTTGAAAAAATGTTCGTATGTATTGTGCAAAAAATTGTACGTCTCCAGCTGTCTGTCTGTATGAGTATGTGTGTGCGTATGTACTCGACTCTTATCTGGGCTCCACTTTTGCCTTGTTCTTTGTCTCTCTCCCTCTCTCTCTCTCTCTTTCTCTGGCTTTCACACTCACTCGCTGTAGCTGTCGTCGTATGTTTGACTGTGACACGTATTTGCTTGGCCCTGCTGCCTGCTACCAGAAAAAGCCCCCTACGTTATGTGTGTAAAGAACAGACGTTCTGGTCTTTGTTTTAATGATAATTTCTAACAAATTCGTAAGCGTTTGTTTATTTGCCTTTTATTTAGCTTGTTTTCTGATTAGACTCTTGTGTGGGGCCTTGCCAGCTGTGCGTGTGTGCGTGTGTCTGGCAACCCTGGACGGGCCGACGAATTGGCCAAATTAACCGCTATGCTGATTCACTTCTAATCGCGTCCCGCTCTCTCCTCCCCTCCCCTCCTGCTCTCTTTCTGTTTTCCACATGAATTCGGCTTTAATTTAGTTTTTCCTTGTGGCAGCAACCAAAATGCAATTAGTCGGCCTGCTCCACACGCTCTATTTATGATTTAGTTGTAATTTCTTGTGTTTCTTTTTGCAACAACTTTTTTTTTATTTCGGCGCATTGAACCCTTTCACTTTACAGTGGAAATTGCCTCAATGGTCGAATGTGAAAAATGTTAGCCCGAGAATGATTCAAATTCGGAAAAGAATATTGTAAGAAATTACAAACTATTCCAAAACTAAAGCGCAAATGTACTTATAGCATTGCTTCACTGTACTAGCGTTACACATATGTGGGGTCTGACGTCATGGGGTGGCCCATGCGACTGTTGGTTGTGGTTTCTTCTGCTGCGCTGTTGCTGCCGCCCCTAAATTAGAGGTTTCAAATTATGGACAGTGGCCTGTGTGTGTGGCCGGAGTGTGTGTGTGTGTGTGTGTGGCATGCAAATGGAAATGTAAATTGAAACCCGAAACCCCCCGAAGGCTTGACCACGTCCTCCCCCGTGCATACTCGTAGATCCTGTTGCAAGTGCGATGACTAATCAGAGAATTATATTTACAAATTGATGTATCCTTTCGTTCTAGGTATGTTCGAGAAGCGTCGCTTCCGCAACTTCCTCATCTATGTGCAGGACTTCAGGGAGGAGGACCCAAAGACCTGGAAGGACTTTGACCCGACCAAGGCCAACATGCAGGGCCTGTATGACAAGTTCGGGCTGGACAAGAACACGCAGGACTTCACTGGCCATGCCCTGGCCCTGTTCCGCGACGACGAGTATCTGAACGAGCCGGCAGTGAACACCATCCGGCGCATCAAGCTGTACTCGGACTCGCTGGCGAGATACGGCAAATCCCCCTATCTGTATCCCATGTACGGTCTGGGGGAGTTGCCCCAGGGCTTTGCCCGCCTGTCGGCCATCTACGGTGGCACCTACATGCTGGACAAGCCAATCGATGAGATTGTCCTCGGCGAGGGCGGCAAGGTGGTGGGTGTGCGCTCTGGCGAGGAGGTGGCCAAGTGCAAGCAGGTCTACTGCGATCCCAGCTATGTGCCCGAGAAGGTGAGTAAACCTAAAAATACTCGTGGTTGATTTATGATTCTAATCTATACCATTTTCTTTGTCTCGGTGGCGGTGGCAGGTGCGCAAGCGTGGCAAGGTTATACGTTGCATTTGCATCCTGGACCATCCGGTGGCCAGCACCAAGGATGGCCTCTCCACTCAAATCATCATTCCACAGAAGCAGGTCGGTCGCAAATCCGACATCTACGTCTCGCTGGTCAGCTCCACCCATCAGGTGGCCGCCAAGGGGTGGTTCGTTGGCATGGTCTCGACCACCGTGGAGACCGAGAATCCCGAGGTGGAGATCAAGCCCGGCCTCGACTTGCTCGAGCCGATCGCACAAAAGTTTGTCACCATTTCGGACTACTTGGAGCCCATCGACGATGGGGCACAGTCGCAGATCTTCATCTCGGAATCGTACGATGCCACCACGCACTTTGAGACCACTTGTCTGGATGTGTTGAACATATTCAAGCGCGGCACTGGCGAGACATTCGACTTTTCCAAGATCAAGCACGAGCTCGGCGACGAGGAGCAGTAATCGAGTAATCGAATCAGTGGGCAAAGGACACCAGGAGCAGAAGATCAGAAGAGAACAGGAGACGACGCCTCATCCCCATGGTTATGGTGCATTTGGACACAGCTCAACATCAGCCACAAAAATCTGCTAGATACGCCAGCGCTTCGAACATCTGAGAGCGAAGTGGCCAAACAAACCCTAAAGAAAATAATACCCAAGATAAAGAAAAAAAAACCCTAAAAATAAAAAAACAAAAAAACCCAAAAAAAACACCCAGAAATTGTATTACGAAAATGCTTTTCCATCGTGTGAAGAAAGTTTTAGATGTGAACAAAACAAATTGCTTGCTTGGCGCAATATTGGATATATGTATGCCTAGAATATATATATGTATATGTACACCCCTATATAATTACAGCTCATACATACGAGTTAGGCAACTAAATGTGGAAATCCACCCAGAATACAGGAGGAATAGTAAACCCTCGCGACACTCACGCGGATTATGCTTGGAATTTAGTTGTACCCAAGTATATGGCCCTCAATAGTCTGCTTGGTTCTGTTCTTATTTTGTGATCGAAAATCCACATACACACACCCATACACCCACACACCCACACATGCATAATGCAGCATTATAATAATTGTAATCAAACAAAAACAAAAAAAGGAAAGTAAAATTAAACTGAAAGTGAAAAATGTCAAAAAGGCAAAGGAACGGAAAGCAGGAAATGTTCATCCCAGAAATAGTATTTGCAAGCCAAACGAAAAGAAAAATCCCAAACATACCCACACACACACACACACACACACAGATGGTCAATGGTCTAGAGAACTATGGTATTCCGCATTTTCAGAATTTACATTTTTAATAAAAATTATAAAAAATAAATACAAAAATTATACGGCTAGATTTGGGTTGAATTCTTGCTAGAGAATTGGACAGAACTCTATTTGATAGTCTGGAGCCAAGAAATGACTCCGGCTCCTTTTTAATATATGTACTATACACGAGTATTAGTTATTATAGGACTATGGAGAGTACGATTACATGACAGAGTTAGGGAAGGAGGAATTTGCTCTTAATTCATTCGAATTTATTTCGCAAATTATAATCCAATTTCCGCAAGAACGTTGTTAATCAAAAAGTAACCGGATTCCAAAAATAGTGTCCGATAATGTTTATTGCAGTTTCCGATTTGATAAAATTCCCTTGTGGTTTCGGGGTATAAGAGGTCCAACCTTAAATGCTAAAATGTTTCTGCGATACACTCCGGGGCGTTTCTCTTGGGAATTCCAGAATCCCTGAACATTACCACAGAACCATTTGTTAAGATCGGCAATGGATACTATTATATTGAGAATAATCAGAAAGGGGACTGGTATCAGGCGTATTTGGCTTGTCGGGAAATGGGCGCCGAGCTAGTCAGCTTCGAGACCCGTGAGGAGTTGGACGCAATGGATGCGTATATACCTATTAAGCACAGAGAGTCTCAATACTGAACTTCAGGAACTGATTTGGCAGTTAAGGGCCAGATGCTGAACCCCTGTCCGACGATGTTTGGTATCCCGGAGAGCCCAATGATAGGGGTGGTAACGAGAGATCGCTTCTAATACAAATATATATGTTAGCCAATCAGTTAACCCAGAATTTCTAACGGAAATCTATTTTTGAATCCGTCTGATCTAGTTCCAGAAGTGTTTATCTGTTTGGGAATTATCTCTGAGCGGAAATCCATAAGTTTCGGTTCCGTTCCGGTTCCAAAGAGGAAATCACTTTCGGTCCTGTCAGCTTTTGTCAGCCATCCAAAGGCGCACAATTTGAAAAGGAAAATGGAAATGATTCAATTGATAGCCATTTGAGTTCCCCAATGTCCTTTTATATTGCTCTTAAGCTGTTCGATGGACATTCCTTCAATTTGTAATAATGAGGCGACAAATGGGAATTGAGGAATTGGGGAGTATCCCGTCTTAGATCCCCTGGCTATCCCATTTCTGGTAGCATTTGAATCACGTAGCCATAAAGGTTATAGTTATGGCCAGGAGCCACTCCGCTCCACTCCGCTCCACTCTACTCCACTCCTTCTCGGTGTGACACAATTACGAATTCCGCAGCAAGTGTTTGGCATGCATTTGAAATACTTTGCCCAGTGCCAGTGCCCCACCCTTGGCAAGTGGGAAATTCTTATTGAATTGCATGTGGCATGCCACACGAGACTGTGGATGGGGCTGGGGTTGGGGCTGGGACTCCTCTCCTCTCCTCTCCTATCCGATCCGTTCCGTTCACTCGATGCGGGGGGAATGTGTAGAATGCTGAGAATGCTGCTCCCGATTCCTGTTAGTTTTAATGCTGTCGCTGACAGTTTTTCCCTTTGCCCGCCCTTCCATTACTTGACTTTCATTCTGTTTGCCCCGCCCCGACGACCTGTCCAGGAAAATGCCGCCAGCATTTTTCCAATTTCCGCATTCAAGAAAACGCAAAAGGCAAAAGCCCAAAGACATTTTCACATTCTTTTGCTTTGCTCGGCAGCGGCCACAAGTGTTTCCAGATATTCAAAGGTTGTTCAAAAAGTCTTTGAAAAAAGTGTGGGGGGTGTTGGGAATTTATGGGAAATTAGCTATACATTTGGGACGAAAGAAGCCTTTTGCCTCTAATGTATTTATATTTGAACAATTAAAGAGTTTCTTTGTGACTTTGGGTTGCTTTAAATATCAGAGATCCATCAACAAATTAAAGAAAACTTCGACCTCTTAGGAGTTGCTTTATTTCCAACATTTTATGTTTTGTATCAATCCGATATTCCTGGCACATTTATCGTCCTGCAACTGTCTCATTGAGGTTGATTTTTCCATGCTCCATTGGCCCCTAAGGATGGGCTTTCTCTCTCTCTCGCAGTCACTATTCGTATATCTCTAGATGATGATGATGATGATGATAGCGATGATGTGGCCAAAACACGTCGCCCCAAAGCTGGTCAAGTCTCTCACCACATTTCTGCTGCTCGTCTTGGATGGGGTTTTGCTTCTTTTTGCGGTTCGAAAAACAGCAAAAAAAAAAAACCGGGGAGAGAGAAGACAAAATTTGTAACTGGGCAAATTGAAGTCAAAACTTTGGCGCTCAGCGCAGCATGCAAGTCACATACAGCAGCAGCAGCGAGGCAGCGAGGCAGCGGGGCAGCTATAGGAGGCATTGGAGTCGGGTGTTGGCGGAGATGGAGACGGAGCGATGATGTCGACGCAGCAGCAGCCTCTGGCAGCCATGACTAAGCGGACTCTTCCTGTTTGTGTGTCTGTGCTTCTGTGTCGGGGCTCCTGTCCTTGTCATGGCACTGGTTCTTGTTTTGGGGCATGGTCAGGCTAACGAGGCAGCCTTCTCTGCCTCTGAGTGGGGGGAATGGGGCATCGTAATAACAGCCAACCGCAGATACAGATATACACAAACAAAATGATGCCTTTGGGGTCGTTTGACGGGGGCTTCTCTCGGCCATCATTTGGCTGCGGCGGCTTATGGACAGTGTCCATGGTGCAGGCTGCAAAATTGACGCAGTGGACAGGACAAGACACACACACACACACACATACAGAACAGACAGGATAACACAAGGACACACACACATACAGAGGAGAAGGGGACACACAAGCAGATACGATACAGAAGCGCATTAGGCCAAATTGAATCCAAGTCCTGGGCATTCCTTAAAGCGTAATGTGATTAATTAAACAAGTTATATAATGCATGCGACACGTTGTCTCCTCCGCTATAATCATCCTCATCATAATCATCAGAGATGACGGCAACAACAAAGCGGAAATTACGCGTACACTGGGAGAAAGTACAGCATAGAAGAGGATCTACAGTTCGGGAAAGTTGTGCCTGGAACTCTGCTTTGCTTCAACCAAATCATTTCAACTGTTTCTTTGATTTCTCGCTAATCTCTTTATTATTTCTCTCAGTGGTGAGCTCTTCCAATACTTGCCTTTATTATGCTCTTTGTCATTTTCATTTCCATTGCCATTGTTGTGCCTTCTTTTGGCCAGAGCTGGGCAACAACTTCATTATTGCTTTCGACACTGTACAACATCCTTGCCCCTGCACTCTCTCTCTCTCTATACCCCCTCTCCACTGTCTAGTAAGACAAGCAAATTTAAATCAATTAAGTAATCTTATTGCCACTGCTGTTGCTGTTTCTGTTGTTGCTGCTGCTGCTGCTGCCGCCTGATGCTTTGAAGATGCTCTCTGCCTTTTTCCATTGCCTGCTTTTAGGGGCACATTCACACCCACTCACACATGCAGCCACACACAGTCTTCCACTCTTTTTGTGCACTAGAAAAAGGGTATACTGATTGGGTTTAGAGTTTAGATGTTGGCAATGCCGAAGAGTAAGGAAAAACTCAAGTATTATTTACTTTTAAAGCTCATAAAAGCAATGATGCTGTCCCCCCAAATAGGATTACTTTTTCTACAGATAAGTACGAGCATATCTGTCGGATAATAATCATAATTGTATCTTGTGCAGTGTATGTTAATCAGCGACTTGCAATCCCAGGCATTCCGCTCTTTTTGTATGTCAAGCATTATAACTCTGGCAATTCCTTCTCATATATGTTCCTGCGTGTATGTGTGTGTGTGTGTGTGTGTGTCTTTGCCTGTGTACGTGTGAGAGTGTTTGTTGTTGGCTGGTGAAACTTTTGCTGTGTTGCATATTTTGTGCAGATTAATTAAATTGCCGGCACGAAGCCGGTATCCAGAGGGTAAGTGGAAGTGGTGAGGGGGAGGCGCCCTGGGAGCGGCAAAGCCGTGTTGAGCCCTTCATGGCACTGTTCGCCAAAAGTGAAGTGCATTATTAAATGTTTTTACCGAAAATTTGATGGCGAAAACAAACCAACAAAGAAATACTGGAATAAAATGAAAATAAAGTTAATTTTGTTGGCAATTAGTTGAAGAGATAGAACGAAGGAAACACAAACACTGATGGTTCAACAGTTTCATGGCAGCCAGCCTTGGGAGAACCATAGCAGACAGCTTTGCTAGTGTCATAGAAAGACAGATTTAAGGCAGCGTTTAGAGTTTTAACGCAACCAGCTTAATTTAGAATTTCATTGCAGACAGGTTGGAGATTTCAATGTCAAACATAGTTGAGATTTGTATAGCGGACAGCTTTGATATTGTCATAGCAGACAGCTTTATAAGTTTCATAACAGGCATTTAACAGCTTTAACAGTTTATCAGCCTGCGTTTCATGTTATTGAACTGGCGGAGCCAACACTGAAAGCTAACAGAGATAGATAACAGCGAAATCTAACAGATATACTTACCATAGATAGCTTAAGAGAAGTTTTAACTGAAAAATTCCCCAGCAGATGCTAACAGAGTTGACACTTCAGCAGTTAATAGCAGCTGTTAGCTAGCAGAAGCTCAAACCACGGCAAAATTCTCTTAAATGTTAAGCTCCATTGCAGGAGAGGGATTCCCTGTTAGGGA